ATTGCCTGAGGTTGGGCGACCCCCAGCGATGGCCGCTTGGGTGGCCCGACCTCGGGTGACGGTTGCCGGCACCAGATCTGGCTCGCCGGCGGTCGCCCAACCTTGGGCGATGGCCGCCGGTGCCAAATTTGGCTTGCTGGCGGCCGTAGCCCTTCCCCTGCTCCGCTGAAGGGTTACTTTTTTTTTTTCAATAAAAAAGGTCCCAAAGCCCTTTGCAAAAAAAAAATTAGCCAAACACTACTTGAGCCAAAATAGCTTCACAAAGAATTTTTTGCCAAACTCTATTTGCATTTCCCCAAGGAGCTTTAACCTAAAGGTATTTGCATTCCCCCGGGGCTCATTTGCAAAGTTGAACCAAACGGGCCCTATATCTTCCGGCATGATGACTATTTAGCACTATGCCATGTACATATTCTCCTTTTGGCCAAATAATAATAATGATAATTAAGAATGTGTTTGTTCCACGAAAAATAAATGGTTTGAACTAGGGATGATCGGTTCTCGATCCAGTTCTGAAAATTGGGAACCAGGGATTGGACCGGGAACCGATCACTTATAATTTAGTTCATATTTTGCTAATTTTTGTCAATGAATTTATAACAATGAAGTTCACTTAGAGTTTAGTTCATATTTTACTAATTTTTATCAACTAATTTATGACAATGAATGTCACTTAGGGTTTAATTCACATTTCACAAATTTTTTTGAAGAAATAAAAGATAAAAATATATATGTGTAGCGGTCCGGTCCGAGCTGTCCGATTCTTGGTTCCAACCGGAACTAGACCGCTCGGACACCTATTCTACTTTTAGGAACTGAGAATTAGACTGACACTCCCGAAAATCGGACTCAATCAGCCAATCCGATCCGGTCCAGGCGGTTCCCAGTTTGGGCGGTCCGTTTTGCACACCCCTAATTTGAACAATATTTTTCTAAAAATGATTACTTTGACCTCACAACCCTTCCATGACATGCACTTAACTAAGGGGATTTCTATAATACCGTTAATGGTATCATTAAGTCGTCGTTTACACCATTAGATCGGCATCCGTTTTAAAATGACAAGGATGATTTAGAATAAAAAGTGATCTGTTCGTCATTTGAAAGAAAAAAAGAAGAAGAAAGAAAACCACTTTTTTTATCATATTGGCAATTCGCACTTAGGTTTCCGGCAAAATTCCATCCCCTGCCCTTAAAGATGGCCATGTGCATTACAGCCATCGAACGAACGAAGGTTCCTTGATGAACTTTCGAACTGACCGGCACGACTCCACTCTTTCCATCCCCAACGCATTCGACCTAATGACATTTTGAGTTCACTAGACATCAACATATCATCTCCATTTCATTCTCCAAAGTTTCAAACAAAACATAAGAGTGACTCTCCGGTGCAAAGTGTGTGGGTGTTAATGGCGCTGTCGACTTGCACGGTGTGGTGGTACACGTGTCGCCCGGGGTTCTATCTCACGGCTATCGGCTGTGCGGGGTTCCACTGGGTGACCAAAAAAAAAAAAACATATCATCTCCATTTCATTCTCCAAAGTTTCAAACAAAACATAAGAGTACACTAAGGCGCGAATGATAATCATTCTGTTTCTCTATTTTTCTATTTTTTTGTTCCCGAAAACAAGTTTGAAACAGAAATCCGTTTGGTAAAATAATTTCATTTTTTTTTATCTCTAGGACAAATATTGGCCTAGAAAATCGATTTGAAATAGAAATGAGAGGTTAAAATTTTATATTTTTCTATTTCTGGAACAGAAACAGAAAAAACAACTCTCTTTTCTATTTATTGCTCACCCTTGCCGCCCACTCGCCGCTCGCCGGCTGGTGGGAATATAAATTTTGTGTCATTATCAAATGAATTTCTATTCCGGGAATAGAATTTTGTGTCGTTATCAAACGTTACTTTTTGCTCAGAAACCCGTTCTGGAAAGAGAAATAGATTTTTTCTATTTCTAGCCAGAAATAGGGTCACACCCTAACTTTCGAAAACAGAACAGTTGATGCCTTTAGCATTTTGTAATTGCCTTCTCAATTTTTTGGCTAGATCAAGGCCGTTTAGGGCGCGAATGACAACATTTCTCTTTCTTGGCCCTAATTCTGGCTAGAAATTAAAAAATCTATTTCTCTTTCCCAGACGAGTTTCTGAGCAAAAAGTAGTGTTTGATATCGATACAAAATTTATATTCCCGAAATAGAAATTCGTTTGATAACTACGCAAAATTTCTATTCCCGCCGGCTAGTGAGCGGCGGCGGCAGTGGACGGTCGATGATCGGCAATGGCGACGAGCAATGGCTGGCAAGCGACGGTGGTGGGCAGCCGGCAAGTGGCGGTGGCGGACGGCTGGCGATTGGCGATGGCGACAGGCAACGGCTAGCGGGCGTTGGTGGTGACCGGCCGGTGAGCGGCGGTGGCGGACGGCCGGTGAGCGACGACGGGTGGCAATGGACAACCGGCGGCCAGTTGTGAGTGAGCGGCGGTGGGCAGCGGTGAGCAACAAGGGTAAGCAATAAAATAGAGTTGTTATTTCTGTTTCTGTTTCAGAAATAGAAAAGTAAAAAATTTTAACTTCTCATTTATGTTCCAAATTTATTTCTGGGCCAAAATTTATCCTAGAAATAAAAAAATAAAATTATTTTACCAAACGGATTTTTGTTCCAAACCTGTTCTCGGGAACAAAAAAAATAGAAAAATAAGAAAATAAAATGATTATCATTCGCGCTTTAAATAGCCATGAAGAGGCCCTTTAACAAATCCCATATAGGCCCGCGAGCATAGTTTTTGATTGCGATCTAGAAGAGCAAGTGTTCGATGCGTGAGGAAATTACTCACGTTATGCAAAAGCTTGGGAACAAAGCAATTGACTGAATGAAAAGTCACTTTATTGAATTGTAGGCTAATGAAGATATGCGCAAAGCATGGCCAAGAAGAGAATTCCGAGTACACTTTCCAACAAAGGGACATAACAAATGATATAACTCTACTCGCTTCCGATATCATATCATGTAAAGAAATAAGCCCGAAAAGGCAGGGGGCACCCAATGCCATGCTCATGGCACTTGTCGGGATGTGGCATAGTTTGGAGCGTCGAGTTTTAAGGTAACTAAAGTTGTGGAAAAATTGCGCGGTAACCACAAAAAATCGGTCAATCTCATCAAAGCCCGGTTTCTCCTCTGTGTGTGTAGAGAGAGAGAGAGATCGACCTTCGGCGAAAGATACGTCGAACTAACCTTAAATTCAAAGACAAGGACATTGTCACACGATATGCGACGACCCATGAATTAGGATTGCCAAAAGGCCAAGGAGCCAAGAAAACATTAGCAATCTCAACCAACCTCTATTTGGATCGATTTGTCCGCAAGAAGGTATTGATCCGCCTCGTCAACCGGTCCAAAATCCTCTACCAATTTCCACCCTCATGTCGCGTTAACTTCATACTTTTCTCAATCGGACAAAGACCTCCACGAAACCCATGACGCATTATTTGCCAAAAAGATTATGAAAATTGCAAAATTATATTCCTTGTCGATTGTGAGAGCTTCAATCACCAATTTATCGACCACTTCGGTGTCGATCATTCGATGTTGCATTTAATTAAGGGTGACGTTATTTTCATCATTGTATGACTAAATTCATCCAGTTTTCATCAGAAAGACAAAATTGTCCTCATTTATTCAATTGCAATTTAAAGTGGTGGTCCCATAGTACTTTCCTTATTTTTTTTAGTTTTTCAATATCTATGCAAGATCTACTTACCATAATTAAAAATTTCACATGTTTAGTTTTTGTTTCTTGTAGATTTCCCACGTAAATTAACGGCACTATGTTTTTTTTTTCTACTGTTAAATATTACTTACATAAAATTTCGTTTCGTCGAAAAGAGAAATTCCCAAGAAACCTAGTTTCTTGCAAATTTATGGTCCCAAATTTATTTACTTTACTTATTTTTTTTGGTTTTTCTATAGCTATGTAGGATCTACTAACCATAATTAAGAATTTCACATATTTAGTTTTTGTGTCTGGTAGATTTTCCATGTATATTAAAGGCACGATGTTTTTTTTTTCTATTGTTAGATATTTTTCCATAAAAGTTCATTTCGTCAAAAATAGAAATTTTCAAGAAACTTAGTTAGCAAATTTATGGAGAAATTTTTTTAATACACTTAAAAACAAAAACATGTGAAGTACTCAATTATGGTAACTATATCCTAAATTGAAAAAGAAAAAATAGAAAAAAGAAGGAGTGGGGCCAGCACTTTAGCTTACAATTGAAAAATTGAGGGCAGTTATGTATTTTTAGTGTAAATAGGGTGGATTTAGTAGTTAGGTGGAAATAGCGCCGTCCTTAATTAATTGGGAAAATTACCAATTCAACTCTAAATATTTAATATGGATGTCATTTTTAATTTTGTCGATGAGGTCATAAATCTTTACTCGAAATTTTAATGTAATCTTTCCGGCCGATTGCTGCCAGAAATAGTTATCAGCATGTCACATACAACGATCGATGATAATTCGCCCGGTAGCAACTGGCTGCAGTGGGAATTCGCCAAAGGATTAGAACTGTTCCAGCAGCATTGAAAAAGTTTATAATCGAATCGGCATTTACGAAATAGGTTCGGGACTAATATGGCAATCACCCTTAATTGATTCGATGGGGATAGGGCGTCTGGTAATATAGATATATAGGGCTTAAATAGCGAAACAATCCCACTCCGTTGACCGAACCCGTCCACATTTAATGCGACAGAATGGGATTGGACCGTCGATCAAGTTGTTGCCGTCGATAGGACATTGAATTTCCTTTGTCAACTTCTCAACCGTTGAATATCAAGTGGGCGGGCATCGGGGAATAATTCGAAGATGATTTCTTACTGGTTTTTTTAATTTATTGCGTCAAATCTGAAATAATTCGGACACGTGGAGGCACGTCCCCTCCACGTCCTAGCCTAGCCTTGGCTATAAATATGGCGGTCGCATCTCGGTGCAAATTTCACACCATTAGGTATACAGTTTGTACCACCAGGAGCAAGATTTATTACAGCAGCAGCAGGAGAAGCCAAGGGAGAAGGGGAAAACAAGACGATATGGAGAACAACAACACGGCTGGGAAGGTCATCACCTGCAAAGGTAAAACACATCTCTACTTCCGGTTCACGGGTCGATGAGCCGGTTTCGAATAGAGTTAAGCGATTGTCTAGGGCGATTTCGTAGGGCCTGCGCGATCCTAGATAGGGGGTCCCGTACGACTTACCAAACGAGATGTCATGATAGATTCGACAGAATGAAATAGGTAGGACGTATGTGCGTGTATGTTTATAATTCTCTCGCGGAAAGAGACGGTCGAACTTTCGCGACTCGGGTTTTCCTCCTCGATGATGATCGGATGGTTTTCTTTCTATTTTGTACTTGATGAAGCCGCCGTGGCATGGGGGCCAGGGCAACCGCTGGTCATGGAGGAGATCCTCGTGGATCCGCCTCAGAAGATGGAGGTCCGGATCAAGGTCCTCTTCACTTCGATATGCCACACGGATCTCAGCGCTTGGAAAGGCGAGGTAATCAAAAACCATTGATAAGTATCGCTTTGAATACGCGCATGCCCGAAACGGTGAGATCTCTAGCATTATTTCCTGCCACATCAAGCGCTGACGTCCCCTTCATTCCCCCTTGTAGAATGAATCTCAAAGAGCGTATCCGCGGATTTTCGGCCACGAAGCGTCCGGGTAGCGAACTCGACACGATCGTGTCTCCCGACAGACCAATATCAAGTTCATGTGACTGACGTTCGAATGAATGATTGGCAGGGTCGTGGAGAGTGTCGGAGAGGGAGTGAGGGACATGAAGGAAGGAGACCATGTGATACCCCTCTTCAACGGGGAGTGCGGCGAGTGCGTGTTCTGCGAGCGCGACGGTACCAACATGTGCAGGGACTACGGGGTGAACCCGATGAAGAAGGTGATGATCGGCGACGGCAAGTCGAGGTTCTGGACCAAAGGAGCGAGGCAGCCCATCTTCCACTTCCTCAACACCTCCACCTTCAGCGAGTTCACGGTGGTCGAGTCCTCCTGCGTCGTCAAGGTCGACCCCAAGTTCCCACTCGAGAAGATGACCTTGCTCAGCTGCGGCGTCTCCACAGGTCGCTCCCTCCCTCTTATCTCTCTATCTATAGTTTTGAACCGTCGATGCAAGTGCGTGCTTGTTCTGGAATGACAATTCCTATACAGATATCGCAATGGGATGTCTCTGTCCTAGTTTTGGAACGAATCTTGCAAGTTGTGCTTTGAATCCGTGACACGATATCTGCGAAACCAATAAACATATCCTCACCATCGGTTTCGAAATGAAGGTGTTGGAGCTGCATGGAACACGGCCGACGTGAAGGCCGGGTCGACCGTCGCCGTCTTCGGCTTGGGCGCTGTGGGTCTCGCGGTACGTACACGTTCCCCCGGTCCTTTCCGGCTCGATATTCATCCCGTCAAGGATCTTGCGTTAATCACAAGTTGCAAAGTGTGATCGTTACTTGGCCGAACGCCCCCTTTAATAAAATAAAAGTCGGCATTTAAGTACTTTAATTAAAAGATTAGTCCCCGTTTAAGTGTTTCAATCACATTAGACAACATACTCGACAAGTCGACAAAGACATCGAAGCATACCAAGAAGTCAACGTTCATATGCTCCTCTTAACCTCGAAGAGGGGGTCAACATCTTTGCCAGAAGAGAAGTCAAACTCTGATTTCCGTGATCCCACGCAGGTTGCGGCCGGCGCACGTGCTAGAGGGGCATCGAAGATAATAGGCGTTGACATCAACCCTGCCAAATTCTTGAAAGGTACGTAAGTTGTTTAATTAGTTGCTAATCAACGATTAATTAAGGACGCAAGGCATGACCTAATTGGCGTCTACGGTAAGCATTCCTCCCTCCCACATGGCCGTCCCCCCCGCCCCTCTTTTGCGCGAAATTTGGAAAGTTGACCGCGCATATATTTTCTATTGGGCGGGCGATGTTCAAGCTAGCCGGATCGCCGTGCCCGATAAAATAATCGATTTTCTATCGGATCAACTCGGATCGTCAAAATGTTAAGAATGATTCGATGCTATTATTTATGACCGTCGTCGTGATAATGCGATTCGTCGTTTGAAGCCCGGGCGCTGGGGATCACCGAGTGCGTCGACCCAGGCGAGCTTGAGACGGCGGTGCACGAGGTATGATTCGTGTGCGCTTCAAAAAAAAAAAAAAAAAAAAACACCCCCCGAAATAAAAATAAGATCCGACGGACGGGAGGGCACGAGTGATGTTTGACTGATGGAAATCGACGGTGGGCGGTGGTTTTGCGTCGCAGGAGATCAAGAGGTTGACCGGAGGCGGCGTTGACTACAGCTTCGAGTGCGCCGGCAACTTGACCGCCCTGCGCGAGGCCTTCCTCTCCACCCATGCCGTACGTATCTCCCCCCCAAATTCAATGTCCCATGTTGTACAATTTTCATGATACGATCTTTATGTGCTCGCTACGCATCTAACTTTGTACGGAATCGATACTCGGCTTTTGCCCTAGGGGTGGGGACTGACCGTGCTGCTGGGGGTCCACCCGGGCCCGAAGACGCTGCCGCTGCATCCGATGGAGCTGTTCGCCGGGCAACAGATCACCGCCTCGGTCTTCGGCGGCTTCAAGGGGAAGACCCAGATCCCTCGCTTCGCCGAGGAATGCATGCTCGGGGTAAAAACTCGCCCTATCGCGTCTATTTTTCCCGTCCCCTTATTTTCGCGCAAACCGTAATTAACCATTCTTTTGCGTATACAAGAAAAGATAATGCGAGATCGATCTTCTTCTTGTTGAAAGGATTGGATCAGAAAAGTTGGATGATGGTATATGATTTGAAGGGGGGGAAAAACCCTGATTTTTTTTGCAGGCGGTGAACTTGGATGAGTTCATAACGCATGAACTCCCGTTCGAGAAGATCAACGAAGCAATTCAGCTGCTCATCGAAGGGAAGTCCCTGAGGTGCCTCATGCACCTCTGAGTTTTTATCCTCCTGTATTGTTGTGCATCTACTTGAGAGTGATGGTTCTCGTGATTAAGGTGTGGCGAATTCGCGATGAGAAAGGTGATTATCGCTTTCTTATCGCGAAGAGGAAGTGACGTGTGAGAGAGAAGAACAGAAGGGGGGTCGTTTAAGAAGCCGAGAATTCCGTGACATGAACCGTCCTGTTATTTATGTAACATTGAACCATAGCATTTCGTGATTCATTCGTGTTTTGATGCCTCGCAATTACATGGGAATGATGCTTGCGTGTGTCGCAATAGAAAAATCCCGCATTGGAGAATCGTCGTGGCATGGAGTAGTGCCCATAGCTCATCGGCTTAAGGTTTTAAATGGATGCGGATACGTCGGATGAGCTCAAACTCAAACTCTCTCTTGACGATTTTCCCACGAGCGTAGATGTCGGACGACTTCCGTTGCGCTACGACATGCGATCGATCCAATTAACCCAAACTCAGAGTCGAATTTGCACGAGTTAAGAGGCCAAAAATGGGATAATTCGAACGGGATTTTCATTAGCTATAGTTATGGAAGTGGTCGACAGCGTGCAAATTTCTCGAGAGAAGAGAGTCTCCTCACGAGGAATCCGTTAAAATCGCAATCTCTCTGCCATGAAATCTGGTTAAGTACAGCAAACTGACTTACAGAAGTCCACATAAATATGTTGGCAACATAAATTGCAGCATCCCGTCCTTCTTCTCCATATCCTTACACCCCCGTACTCGATGATTTCGATGTCGCCTAACATTAGGTGCTGCAGACACAACTTATGATGCTCGCCATCAATAGGAAAATTGGTACAGCTGGTGCTCAAAACCCAATGTCAGGCGCCTCCATCTGATTCATTTATGGAGTGCTGGAAGAAATTGAATCGACATGAACCTGCATCGTGGAGGATTGTCATTAGTATGGTCGCTTCTAGGTGGCAAAATGGGTTTGGAACCCCACGTTTCAACCCATATTTGATGATGCCGGTCGTAAATGGGTTGCCTTAATGAAGTTCTAAAAACGGGCTTAAGTGGATCATAAATCGGTTGCATAACGACAAAATTGGTCGATAACTAACCCATTTCAAACCCATATAAAGAATTGGAGAACAAACCCATTTCTAACCCATATCAGGTGGAGTTGGAGATGTCAAGCCAATTTTTCTTTTTCTTTCTAGCTCAGACCTGGGGTGCGACCCTCGCCGAACGTACAAGAAAAGAGGAAAAGAAAGAAAGAAAAAGAAAATATTGAATTGTTTTATAAAAAAAATTATCCACTAAATTTGTATTGCATGGAAGTATTTTAGCAATATAATTTTTTAGAAAAATCAAAAGAAACAAGTTTTCCTAAATTGTGTTAAATATGAAAGTATTTTAGTAATATGGATCGGGTATAGGTCGAGAAATTTGCATTACGAATAAATGAGTCATAAATGGCTGAATGGATCAATTTGCGTCGGACCGTTTCTACCTATTTAACAGGTCTATTAAAAAGCACTAATCATCACCAAATTATTAAACAACTGCTTGCATTAATTGGAAGAGATGGGTATTTCAAGAGGCTGTCGGAGCAGCTTTGAAGGCCGCCAATGTGCGAGCTGGATCGAGTGTCGCCATCTTCGGATTGGGTGTTGTGGGTCACGTAGTGAGTTCGCGGTCACGATCGAAGCTTTTTTCTGTTTACGATTCGTTCTTGTTCGATACCGGTTCCCATAGCTAGGGTTCATCACAAATTAGGGCGTGTAAAAGATTACATGTGTGCGCAAAGGCTCTCTGTACATGCATTTGGATTGCAAAAACGAAACGGGAATGGAGAACCCTAGCGTACCACCAACATATCAAGAAATCAATCTTGTTCGCGCCAAATTTTCTAAAAAGTAAAAGAAGGGGAAGATCTCGAATTGCTTGCTGGGTCTTACTTGGTTGATCTGCAGGTAGCTGCAGGAGCACGAGCCAGAGGAGCATCGAAGATGATAGGTGTCGGCATCGACCCTACTAAGTTCGTGGAAGGTATCATTACATAAATTACATTAGAAGACACGCATTGTTTGATGAGACAAAATATTATTGTTTTTCGTTATTGTGAGAGTTATTTTATTGTGATGCTAGTGTTCTAAACTTATTACACTTTTGCCAACTCACTTCTAAATATTTTCACGTTCTGTCAATTGAGTCCATCCAGTCAATTTTGGCTGGAAATCGCTAATGTGGAAGCCGCTCATCCTACGCGGCAAGACCGGCGCTAACATGAATAATTTTTAATAATATATTTTTCTTTTTTTATACTTTTCTTTATTTACTTTTTTTTTATTTACAGCTAGCAAGGGACTGCCGGCCACTAGGCGAGGGCCTGCGCGCCCCCGCCGACCACGAGCAAGGGTCGCAACCCTCATTGCTGCGGGCGAGGGCAGCGAGCCCTTGCCGGCCACTAGGCAAGGGCAATTCTAAGCAAGGGCCGCAAGCCCTCACTTGCCACCGACGAGGACATGCAAAATTCTGCATAGAAGTGTTTTAACAATATAATTTTTAAAAAAATCATAAGAAATAAGTTTTCCTAAATTTAATTAAATATAAAAGTGTTTTAGCAATATGGGTTGGGTATAGATTGAGAAATTTACATTAAGAATAAATGGGTCGTAAACAGGTTAATTTGGATCGAACCATTCATGAACAAATCCAAACCCGACCCGACCCGACACACCCATTTGACAAGTCTAAATTAAAGAGGCCTAAGACTTCTGATTTTCTGTTGCGTTGGGGGAAAACTTTCGCAGGAAGTGATCTTGGATGAATTCATAACGCATGAGCTTCCCTTTGAGAGGATCGATGAAACCTTTCAGCTGCTCAAGGAAGGCAAGTCCTTCAGATGCCTCATGCACCTCTGATGATACTACCAGCTTACGCCAAAATCGCCGGACAGTCGACGCATGATGAATACATGAGAGAGGGCAAACCCACAAGACTCACGGTCGCCAATCGGACTATATCACAGAGTTGCATAAATAAGTCATTACAGTTGAGCATCTTAGAATCTTAGCTTGGTATGTTGTCCTAAAGGCACAGCCCTAGTTTTCCTCCTAAGAAAACCATCTCTTCAGGACACAAACAGAAGTACATCTTCAATCAAAACCCAACGGTTCTCATTACCGGATCTGGCATCATTGCCGGCCTTACTAATTCTCCTCCAAGCAGCGATATCGGATACATAACGGGGTGACCCTCGAAACAGCTTTGATGAGTCGCAAAGGCAATGAGATTAGTCCAGTCCAAAATATCATAATCCCAGCTCAAGCTCTCTCTCCGTTGTTTCGAAGCCCTAACCAAAAGGAAGCGCTGGAAAAGTTTTCTGTTCTGTTTATGGACAGATAGATTATCTCAAACGAAGAGCAAATACAAGAGCAACATGACACTACCACACCACTCTTATGCAAATACTCCACTGCAGCAGCAGCAGCAAACCACAATGTGGACATAGATTGCGACAACACGGACAACTGGACATAGATTTTCAAGCTAATACTTTCATGATGGTCAAAACTCGAAAAACCGAGCGTGAAAAAGAACTCATAAGCAACGAAACTAACCGATTAGTCGGGGTCAGTTCATGCGACGAAGTTCAGGCAATTCACATGTCAGAATCTGCTATGCTCAGGGAGCATTCTATACTTAAAAAAGCATCCCACGTCTAAATGAGATGAACCAACTAGTGACATCAATCTCTCAGAGCCTCGAAGTTCCATCCAACAACTCTACAAGTGAGAATAAACAAAACATGGACACCTATGGTAAGCTTTCCTGTCGAAGCGGACAACGGTATCTATAAGACAGAGAACAGCCAGACAGCCGGAGAGCAATTTTTACATCAAAGAAGGATAATCATGCGTTCAAATATATATATCCAGATGGTGGCAGTCAGGTGCTGAGAACGGTCAATGCATGGGCAGGCGAGGAGCGCGTGGGCGAACAGGTGTTTTCGATGGGCTCACCCTGAAAATACCAAAGGTAAGATGATGAACAAGAGGTGAGTGAATCAAATGTGCAAAATTATGAGAAAGAACAAGTGCCACAAGGGAATGTGCAATCCAACAGACCTTATGGGTAGTGATCCAAGAACCACGCCACTACAGTTAAGGGCAGCAATAGCACTTTCAGCCTGCACAAGTGAAACACATGAATTAAGACTTCTCCATGTTTCAATTACAACAACAGGACCCAATGAACACGAGATTTGTTACTATTTCATTCAATATCGCTCTTCCGCACGAAAAACTATATTTTCTAACTAATCAGAGGCAGAATGAGGAAGCCACATGACACGCCTTAAGCAAATTATTGGTGGTAAGAACTAAAGTTGGAATAGCTCGCAAACTTTACCTGTAATCATCAATCACATGACGAGAGGAACCCATAATTAAATGGGCACATCATCCGTTTGACTTGATAACGTATATAATACCGGTAGTTATTCTATGAATATTTCTCCAGAAGGGTAGAAATAATGAAACTTAACTCTTATTAAGCAAACAATTGATATGGGAAGAAAGGTGAAAAAGGACAAATTAATGTTCAGTAAACTCGTTTATATGTATGCAAACTTTTTAGACCAGCAGGGCATTGACTTTCAAGTTCTTTGCCTGTTAACTACATGGGCTTCCAGCTTTCCAATCGATTAATAAATAAAATCTCTGTTTAGCCAAAAAAAAAAAATTGCTATGCACTGAATACACTACCCTCCTCAGTGAAATTCTGAAAAATCCCATCACATCAGATACAACTTCAAGAGCCAGAGATTTTACATATGATGAATGCAACATGAACAAAGAACATAAAAATGAAAGCCAGTTCTTGTTATCTAAGAAGAGAGCAGAGCTATTTCAAAACCAATCTCTGCAACCAAATCCAATTGATCCTTCCCCCTGATATTATGGCAAGACATATTTCCATTAATCGATGTGCTATATATAGCAAACAATTTCCTTTTTCCCTCTCAAGCAGGTGGAGACAAGTAATTCTTGAACCTAAAATGTATCTCGCTAATTCATTTAGGCATTTTTCATGGTTACAGGTGGATTTCCCTAAAAGCAGATTACTCCAGTGGGAGAAGATGCAGAGAGGGCTGCATTAGCTTTTGCCAAAACAACACAAAGCACAGATCACGTATCTTCAATTGCAGAGAAACACCAATATTAAAAGCTGAAAGAATTTTTCTTAGTCATGTAGGATAGGAATAGACAAAAGGAGATTCTGACATTCACAAAGTACTAATCAGGAGATGAAGAATGAATCGGTAC